TCAGTTCTTATTCCTACTGAGGTAAGCTGACTGCTGGAGAACTGATCAGTGAGGAATGCAAGAAAGGAAAAGTTATGGTACCACAGGACCACTGGTCAGAAGAAAAAGCGATTAAACATATAGTATCTGAATTATTGTTAATATGATGACAAAGCTTAACATAAACATGAAAGTTAATGTCTTAAAGGGACAGATCATAGAAAATCTAATAATAGGAATATTAGCTGAAGAGGATGAACCATCAACAAAAATGTAGAAGTACAGAGAATGAGGTGGGGAGATTAAGGGTAAGCAACAGTTTTTTTTATATGTGGAGGGGCTCCATAGACTCAAACAATTAGGAAAAATAAAATACTTTTATAGAAAGCCAGAGGGACTATTTTAAATCAAAATAGGATGTGCATCTTCCTAATCACTAGAGAAAAACATATACATTAAAAACCTATTAGACATACAAGAAACATGCGGAAGGATAAATTTATAGTAGCAATTATGTATAAAAGATGTTAAATAATATGATCAAAAAGATACATTAAATAATACATTGAAAGCATTTCCCGTGGAACACAGACAAGACTAATATGAATTCACAAAAAACTTAATAAATTTCAAAAGGCAGATATTCTGCCGGCCACCTTTTTGAATCCAGTGCAATTAATTAGAATAAATAATTAAGAGTTTAATACTCAATCACCTAGAAATTTTAGGATATTCTCTTTGGAACTAAAGGAAGACAAAATTAGAAACAGGACTATTCAGAATGTTGTAACAAAGTTGGTGCGGGGTGAGGGACTGTGTGGAGAGTGATAAATAGAAGAGTAGAAATTTTAAACAAATATTCTATTAGATTCTATGCTAAAACATTTAAAATATTAATGAAATGCATGATTTCTTGATGGCTCATGGCTATTCAGGGTGAGTAGCATGAATACTACTGGGGTAGTAGTTGGGGTATCTTGAATGGGAGGAATCTATGGGTCATCCAGGTGGACATTTCCAGCCAATACTTGGATAAATAAGGCTGAATCTTGGGCAAGCTATCTGAACTGGAAGTAAAGATTTGTCATAGCATGTGGCCTGACATGGGAATCCTGGGGGCACTAATGAGGTTGCTGAGGAAGAATGTATAGGCAAGCAGAAGACTGCCTTGGCAACAAGAAGCATCAGACGGACAGAGGAAGCTGAGCAGTCCTCAAAGTAGGTTGCGATTGCCTAAGTGGAGCGGCAGGGGTGAAACAGGGCAGTGTGCATTCAGGAAAACCAGTGAGGGCTTCCCTGGTGGCGCAGTGGTTGGGAGTCCGCCTGCCGATGCAGGGGACACGGGTTCGTGTCCCGGTCCGGGAAGATCCCACATGCCACGGAGCGGCTGGGCCCGTGAGCCATGGCCGCTGAACCTGCGCGTCCGGAGCCTGTGCTCCGCGGCGGGAGGGGCCACAACAGTGAGAGGCCCGCGTACAGCAAAAAAAAAAAAAAAAGAAAGCCAATGAGTTGAAGTATTTCCAGCAGGAGAGTTTTTCCAGTGTCAAATGCTAACTTGAGTTTAAGATAAGAATGGAAAATTTCCTCTTGGTTTGGCTAAGATGTTATTGGTGACTTTGACAAGAGCAGTTTCACAGGGGTTCTTTCAAACTTTGAGTCAAGAGATAATATCCATGCCATATAAGTTTTATAGTGCATAGGATAAAATATAGAAAGCTTCTCAATTTATTTTTTCAAAGCTGGTATAAAATAAAATTTCAGAAGCCAACAACACCGTGCACACTGTCCCAGTTGCTAACATGGGCACACAAATCCCCGGCAACAATAACAGTAACAGACGCGTGTTGAGGGCTTAAAATGTGCCAGGCGCTATTCTCAGTAATGTAATTGATTTCATCCTCCCACCAGCAATCATAAGAAAACAGTAACAAATTGTATTCAGAAGTATACTAAGCAAATTATATACCACATCCATGAGTCAAGGATTAATTGTGAAATATTGAGAAATCTACTCTAAAATACAATTTAAATTGGTCCAGGGAGAAAATTCATATGACTGTAATTTCCTAAAATTCTAAGAAGTCCTGATAAAAGCCCTTATCAAAACATGATAACTAGGGCTTCCCTGGTGGCACAGTGGTTGAGAGTCTGCCTGCCAATGCAGGGGACACGGGTTCGTGCCCCAGTCCGGGAAGATCCCACCTGCCGCGGAGCGGCTGGGCCCGTGAGCCGTGGCCGCTGAGCCTGAGCGTCCAGAACCTGTGCTCCGCAACGGGAGAGGCCACAACAGTGAGAGCCCCGCGTACCGCAAAAAACAACAACAACAAAAACATGATAACTAATATCTATCTCAAATAGCCAACATCACATTTGGTGCTGAAGTGTTAGTGTCATTCCCACTTTAAAGGAAAAAAAGTCATCCTCTTTTCAGACACTTTTTGGGAAGTTTTAGCCAATACAAGAATGGGATTCAGAGAACTAAACAGAATTAATATACTTATCAAAAGGAGACAAAATGATCATCACATATAGATGCTCTGAATGTACAAACCTAAGAATGAACAGAAAAAATAAGTACATCTGTCAAGGGTTTGGTTACAAAATAAGAGACAATTACTATTGGTTAAGATCTTTTACCTGCAAAGAACTGTGCTGGGGGCATGCTACACATTGTTTCGTTTAATTTTGACAGCAAACCCATGAGATGGCTTTTAAACAGAAGTTCACAGAAGTTAATGGCGGAGCTGGAATTTAAACCCAAGATCTACTTGACTCTCAAGCTGATTCTCTTAATGACTATAGTATATACCACCACACACTCTCCTCACACACACTGCCTGTGCAGACACATAACAACCAAAGTGTTTCTAGGTGCTAGTAAAACTCTTAGAAAATATGATGAGGGAGTAATCATATTCACAATAAAATCAACAAAAAGTGAAATACATAGCAAAAAATGAAAACCAAAAATCTTATTACCTGCATGATGAACAGTACACATTTTACTGGTGGACCTAAAGAATTCGTATATGTATATGTATGTATAAGCAACACCCCCCCACCCCGTGTGTGTGTGTGTGTGTGTGAATGTGTGAATGTGTACTTGCCAGATCTTGGAGTTGGGATGGTCTTTCTACCTGTAATACCTAAGGACAGATTTGGACATAATGTTGTAACATGGTGACAGAGTGTTAAAAGTATTAATATGTAAAGTGTTTTTACAAGTAAAAAAAAAAAAGGCCTAATTCTCAATAGAAAAGAGTGCAGAAAGTATTATAAGCAGTTCATAAAAGAAAAAATTAAAATGATCAGCAAGTATAAGAGAAAAACGTCAGCCTCACTGATGAATAAAGAAATGTAAGTTAAAATGACCACATGCCTTGCTGGAGGGAGTATAAATTTATATGTTCTTCTGAGGAGTGGTTTGACAGTATGTGTGAAAGGCCTTAAATATAACTCATAATTTTTTCTCTGGTAATTCTAATTCTTAGAATTTTCCAATTGAAAGAATTAAAGTTATGCACAAAGGATAATTTTTGCTCTGATTTTTATAATAGTGAGAAATTAGGACCACGTTAAATGCCAAACATTAGGAAGCCATTTAAATAAATTATAGACCATGTCATAGAAAAATATGCAGGAATTTAAAATAATGTTATAAAAGAATATTTAATAACCTGGGGGAAATTTTGATATATTTTTAAATGGATAAAAAGTAGGTTATGGAATGGTGTGAATAGTATGCTCTGAATAATTTTAAGTATGTGTGTGTGTTTAAATCTTGGAGGATATAAGCAAAAATGTCAACCCAGATCATCTCTAAAATGGTGAGATTATGGATGATTTTATTTTTGCTTCTATATTTAAAAATTTTAATAATTTCTTTAAATAAAAGGTGTTGCTTTGAGAGTTCAAATAAAAGAAACAAATATTTATAAAACATATATGCAAAAAGTAAGATTGGGCTTCCCTGGTGGCGCAGTGGTTGAGAGTCCGCCTGCTGATGCAGGGGACACAGGTTCGTGCCCCGGTCCGGGAAGATCCCACATGCCGCGGAGCGGCTGGGCCCGTGAGCCATGGCCACTGAGCCTGCGCGTCCGGAGCCTGTGCTCCGCAACGGGAGAGGCCACGACAGTGAGAGGCCCGCGTACCGAAAAAAAAAAAAGTAAGATTAAAAAGGAAATACACCCTCCTGTGTTTACTGCTGCCTAATGGGAGTGCAGGTGATTACTATTTTACCCTTTATATCTTTTTTCTTTACTTTGATTGTGTATTAATTTTAAAACCATAAAATATAAGCAACAAAATTTTAAAAAGTAAAGGGGGAGAGGAAAGAAGGACAAAGGATAAAGGAATCAACCCCCAAAACTCTTTAGCACAGTAGAAATGCCAAAATAGGTCCTTCATTCATTCATTCCCTCACTCATTCATTTTACAATTGCTGACACGAAGTGCCTATTATGTGCCAGGCTCTGTCTCCAACAATGAGAACACAGTGGCAAAACAGAATAAGTGTGAATTCTGCTCCTATGGAACTTGGCAGTATCTGGTGAAGCCTGACATGAAGTGAATGTATGTGTAACAAAACATAATTGAAAATTCTGAAAGTCTATTATGCATTAAGAAGAGGGTTTTATGAGAATAAACTCACAAAAGGTTTATATATGTATGAACGTAAATATTTAAGAGCATGATTAAGAAAAAGTGATGTTTAGGAGAAGAATTACTAGATGATGAAGGTATACTGGGGAAGGAGGCAAAGAGGGAAGCAGGGAAAAGCATGTAAAGGTACTTTGTCATCTTCCTAAGAAACTGGGATGGGATATGGTTGATTGTGTAATGTTTCTGATTATTTGTGAGTGAGCAGAGAACGATAAGTGTGTGTACTTACGGCAGAAATGATAAAATAATTATAATAATCCTGAAATTTGGAGACCTTTCTATTACCCATGGCAGACTTAATTACAAGCTTTGCTTTATGGCCAGTTTATATACTCAAAAAGAAGACTTTTGTTTTTCAGCATTAAATGAACCCACCATAGACTATGGCTTTCAGAGACTGCAGAAAGTCATCCCAAGGCATCCTGGAGATCCTGAGAGATTAGCTAAGGTAAAATGCTTTGGAAAATGACACGTGAAAACCTTCTTGGAGAATTTCAGCAAACTTAGATAAATCTAGCGACTTAAGTCTCTTTAAAATTAAATTAGGCATTGAAATTTGGCTAAGCTGGAGATACAAGATGCGCATAAAATATCTACTAACTGTGAAATATGTTATGGTCAATCTCTGAGGAAATATGAAATCTGAAAAGTTGGGCCTCTGAAACCAACACACTACAATTATTCAGCTTATAAAACATTGCCAACTTTATGAAAATAATTATATAATTGCTTAAAAGTATAAGTTCCCATTCCTTTGTATTTAAACGTAATTTTGTTTACCCGTAATTACAGGGACATAGTAATCCACAATCAAGTATTCACGGAAGGCCTAGTACATACACAGATATTTAAGGAAGTGAAAAACACATCCATATATAATTTCTATGAAATGTATCTGTTTCAAATGAACTTGCTCACAAAAATTATATAGTGAATCTGGCCCATTATTTTAGCTTTCTTTATTTAAAAATACGTCAGGGCTTCCCTGGTGGCGCAGTGGTTGAGAGTCCGCCTGCCAATGCAGGGGACACGGGTTCATGCCCCGGTCTGGGAAGATCCCACATGCCGCGGAGCGGCTGGGCCCGTGAGCCATGGCCGCTGAGCCTGCGTGTCCGGAGCCTGTGCTCCGCAACGGGAGAGGCCACAACAGTGAGAGGCCCGCGTACTGCAAAAAAAAAAAAAAAAAAGTCAATTTATTAGGTATTAATTAATTAGAAATTACAAAATTTTAACATTTTTATTTACATTTTAAGCACATACATTATAAAATGCCATGTTCTCTTTTCTGTAGTGTGAGTGAAATTCAAGTACCGCAGTTGCTTCTGCATAGCACCTTTGTTTTCCTCTTGGAAAAGTCCCCAGCCCCACCATTAAATTAGATGATATCTAGAAAGTAGGTTAATAGCAATTTAAAAGCCTGTTAAAAACAGAAGGTGGAAAAGACAAAATGAGAGGAAAGGGATTACTGATTACTAATTCTCTCTGGTTAAAGTGAACAGGGGGAAATATTACTGAAAGAATTCATCTTTATTAGAGTAAAATTTTGCAGAAGGCATTGCCAAGATTATTTCAGTACTCTGGACAACTCCTTGGCAAGCAGCTAAACTCAGGTCAATCAATCATTTTGAGGCTATTTGGTTAATTAGAATACCAGATTTTTTTAATGGAATGGTCTGTAAGTAGTTTTTAATGGAACTCCCATGACGTTATTAATTTTAGCCAACTTTACCCTTAATTTGGCTGTCTTTTGTTTTGGTAGCCAAGCTATTTGTGGAGCCCTTTTATCGAGAAGTATTTCACATAGATATGCATTTATAGGGGGATTCATACGTGTGATCATATACTACCTGTCAAACCAAATATAGGACCTCTTGGCTAGTTACTTACACTTTAGGGGGATGCCTGGACTTTCGATTTTTATATGTAATTTTCCTTTGTGTTGGCCATTTGGGGTTTTACCTTTGCTTATATCCCACCCTTTCTTTTCTTTTTCTAGGAAATGCTGTTGAAAAGAGCTGCAGATCTGGTGGAGGCGCTCTATGGGACACCACACAATAACCAGGTTAGGTGCTCCCATTTTGCACTCTCTTGAGTTCAACTCTTATTGCTCGATAAAAACATTCACCTCAACCTGCCACTTTGTAGGACATCATTTTGAAGCGTGCCGCAGACATTGCTGAAGCCCTGTACAGTGTCCCCAGGAATCCCAGCCAGATCCCAGCTCTCTCCAGCTCTCCAGCTCACAGTGGCATGATGGGCATCAATTCTTATGGCAGCCAGCTTGGGGTCAGCATCTCAGAGTCAACACAGGGAAATAATCAAGGTACTACCTTTCTCAGAGTCAAAAGGCAAACATCTTATACATTTAAAAGGCTGGTTCTGCTGGAATGGAAGGAGTTAAAGCTTGATTCTTATGCCATCAAAAGAGTGTGTCCCAGGGCTTCCGTGGTGGCGCAGTGGTTGAGAGTCCGCCTGCCGATGCAGGGGACGCGGGTTCGTGCCCCGGTCCGGGAAGATCCCACATGCCGCGGAGCGGCTGGGCTGGTGAGCCATGGCCGCTGAGCCTGCACATCCGGAGCCTGTGCTCCGCAACGGGAGAGGCCACGGCAGTGAGAGGCCCGCGTACTGCAAAAACAAACAAACAAACAAAAAAGAGTGTGTCCCAGATAAGCAATGCAATCATTGGATTATCTCAACATTAGGTGTATTGTTAGACTTTGAGCTCTTTAGGTACCTGGCAGAATCCTTTAACTGGAAACATTTAAGAATAAGATTAAGTATTGTGAATTTAGAAGAGTTTAGGCTTACTAAAACTAGATTTACAGGTATTGTTTGAATAAAATCTACACTTCTGCTATTGTGATCATCACACTGAATAATGGAAAGGAGCTGAGTTATTGCTATTCTTGTTAATTACACACAAATTCCTAGTGCCAAGGGTGAATGGCTTAGTTTGGTAACTTCTATTTGTGTATTATCTCATATATATATATATATGCAAAGGTATACAAATATATAAATACAGCAGCACAGTTAACAGTGCTTCTACCTGTGAAGCATATTGAGTAAAGGTTTTTGTCATTGAGGTTGATTTTATTAAGGTGCTAAATTTATCATAAATCATTTTTTAAAAGGAGTAAATGTTTCTGCTGACGTACCTCACCTTGGGATAGTTTTATTTCTAATTCTATCATCCATTGCAAGGGAATTCCTCAGTCTCACGCTCAGGGTGAGTTCTTCTTACAGAAATATGGGTGGGACATATTATTACCTTTTTTTTTTTTCCCCTAAATTTGGGTCATTTCTTAAATAGCTTTAGAGACAGTTATCCTATGTGGGTTGTTTCAGGATAGATTAGGTGAGGTCTCTGTGCTGGGGTTTCAGAAGTATGGGGAGGACTCATCCCACTCCGGACTGGATCTCCGTGCATTCGGTTGCGGATGCTTCCAAGTCTTTGGTCAAAGAACAGCCCATTTATTTATTTTTTTAATTTATTTTTTTAAATTGAAGTGTAGTTGATTTACAATGTTGCATTAATTTCTGCTGTACAGAAAAATGACTCAGTTATACACATATGTACATTCTTTTTTATATTCTTTTCCATTATGGTTTATCCCAGGGGATTGGATATCGTTCCATGTGCTATACAGTAGGACCTTGTTGTTTATCCATTCTAAATGTAACAGTTTGCGTCTATTAGCCCCAAACTCCCAACCATCCCTTCCCCTGCTTCCCCTCCACCTTGGTAACCACAAGTCTGTTCTCTGTGTGAGTCTCTTTCTGTTTCCCAGATTGGTTCATTTGTGCCATATTTTAGATTCCACATATAAGTGATATCATATGGTATTTGTCTTTCTCTTTCCAACTTACTTCACTTAGTATGATAAGCTCTGGTGTTATCCATGTTGCTGCAAAGGGCATTATCTCGAAAGAACAGCCCATCTAGATGAACTTATCAATGCATTTTAAATGAAAATGTTCCCCACCCCACACAGCAGGGCATGGTAACAACTTCAGACTTCTATAGCTGTGATCTTCAGAGTGCTAGCGCCTCTTGAAATGTTATCAGGATGCCTTTTCCCCGTCACACCCAGAAAAGATGCTATATTATGTTAAATTTGGGAAACACTAGGTTAGCAAAGTTAAACCGGTTTATTCATTCTCCAGGCCCTTCATATACGAATCTTCAATATGCTATGGTACGCACCATCTGCCAAGCTTTATTTGACCACAGAACGCTTTTCTCAGTGATACCCATCAGTATCTCAGAGGGCTCTAGCGTTACATGAAGTAGGATTTGGGAGATGTCACTGCCGTTAGTCATTCACTCCTTGGTGTGAGTTGGAGATGTTGACTGCCAATGGGAAAGAGGAGGAAGGGGGGAATTACAGGGATATGGTTTTGTGCGAGATGGGGAAGAGACAGGAAGGTATAAAAAGTTTGAAGACAAACTGCAGACTTTTCCACTACAGCCCACAGTCAATTCTATAGACTGGGGGCCATGTGGACCTATGCTGCCCTATTTGGTCTGTGCAGTGTGTGTGTGTGTGTGTGTGTGTGTGTGTGTGTGTGTGTGTGTGTGTGTGTGTGTGTGTGTGTGTGTGTGTGTGTGTGTGTGTGTGTGTGTGTGTGTGTGTGTGTGTGTGTGTGTGTGTGTGTGTGTGTGTGTGTGTGTGTGTGTGTGTGTGTGTGTGTGTGTGTGTGTGTGTGT